CCCCTTCATCTCTTCTTTCCTCAAATCGCTTTCAAGCAAACCATACTTCCTTAACACACTTCTATTATTATTATTATACAGGATTTATATAGCGCCAACAGTTTGCTCAGCGCTTTACAATATAACGGGAGACAATCAGCAACAATACAGTTCAATACAAGAGGGATAGGAGGGCCCTGCTCCTTGGAGCTTACAATCTAGGAGGGAGGGGCTAGTGGTACAAAAGGTAATAACTGTGGGGGATGGACTGGTTGGAAGAGTAGAAGATCCATTATTAGCTGAGGGCAGGATAGGCTTCCCTGAAGAGAGAGGTTTTCAGAGATTGCCTAAAAGTGAGCAGAGTAGGCGATACTCTGATAAATTGAGGTAGAGAGTTCCAAAGGATGGGGGAAGCTCTGGAGAAGTCCTGGAGATGAGCATGGGAGGAAGAGACAGGGGTGTTAGAGAGAAGGAAGTCTTGCGAGGAGCGGAGAGTACGGTTTGGGTGATATTTGGAGACAAGATCGGTGATGTAATTTGGGGCAGAGTTATAAATGGCTTTATATGTTATTGTTAATGTTTTGAATTTTATTTGTTGGGCAATGGGAAGCCAGTAGAGGGATTGGCAGAGAGGGATGGAGGGCACTGAACGGAGGCGAGTGCAGGGATTGGCAGAGAGGGATGGAGGAAACTGAGTGGAGGGATTGGCAGAGAGGGATGGAGGACACTGAATGTAGGCCAGTGGAGGGATTGGCAGAGAGGGGTGGAGGACACTGAGTGGAAGCCAGAGGAGGGATTGGCAGAGAGGGGTGGAGGACACTGAATGGAGGCCAGTGGAGGGATTGGTAAAGAGGGGTGGAGAACACTGAGTGGAGGGATTGGCAGAGAGGGGTGAAGTACACTGAGTGGAGGCCAGTGGAGGGATTGGCAGAGAGGGGTGGAGGACACTGAGTGGAGGCCAGTAGAGGGATTGGCAGAGAGGGGTGGAGGACACTGTGTGGAGGCCAGAGGAGGGATTGGCAGAGAGAGGTGGCAGATACAGAACGGTTAGTAAGGTGGATGAGTCTGGCAGCAGCATTCATGATAGACTGAAGAGGGGATAGCCTGCGATTAGGTAGGCCAATGAGGAGGGAGTTACAATAGTCAAGGCGAGATATAACAAGGTGTAGTCTTATTATAAAGAAGTCCACACAGAAACAGTTCATAAGACAAATCTGTTGTCTTATATCAATAATGGAGGACATATGACCAGCGTATATTTATATATATACTATTCTCGCAGCAACCAATAGTCCTTTTCCAGAGAGATGCATTTATTTGGATAAAGATATTTGTTACAGATGACAGAAATCCAGCTGAATACTTGTAAATACTGTATTACAATGAACAACAACCCTCAAAGTCCCATTCAAGATACTTCATATCAAGCATAGAGATACTACACCGTCCAGCATATGTCCAATCTATAATATGCACCTAGGTAGCTTCCATGCATGGAATAATGTGAATTATGATCTATACCTGTGCTCCCATATCAATGACAGGAAGAAAACGCCTTTTCCAGCTGAGGTACAGACAAGTAAGATGACATGCAATCATTAGAGAACCTTCCTGTGTCCTGTCACCTGTGTCCTGTTACACATATCCTGACCTGTGTTCTGTCCCACATATCCTGACCTGTGTTCTGTCCCACATATCCTGACCTGTGTTCTGTCCCACATATCCTGACCTGTGTTCTGTCCCACATATCCTGACCTGTGTTCTGTCCCACATATCCTGACCTGTGTTCTGTCCCACGTATCCTGACCTGTGTTCTGTCCCACATATCCTGACCTGTGTTCTGTCCCACGTATCCTGACTTGTGTTCTGTCCCACATATCCTGACCTGTGTTCTGTCCCACGTATCCTGACTTGTGTTCTGTCCCACATATCCTGACCTGTGCTCTGTCCCCTTTGTTCTGTGACCTGAGTTAATATACACATTTTCCCCATTCAGTACAATGGCAAGCACTCTGATTGGCCACTTTTAGTAGCATGTTTGATCTTATGTGTCTAGACCTAGAAACTTCCCCTGACTCTCCATATATTTACCCAAAAACAGGTTAACCCAACACAACAAAGGTAAGGTAATTACCTCCTGCATACATTAACATAGTAAGGAGTCCTTTTGGTGTGTAAAGTGGTCTTATCACTGACCTGTCCAAGAATGAACAGTATGTGTTTCAATGTCTTCAATATATATACATATATATTACACACAATATACTACACAAGGGAGGGAATAAATTGCTTAGTGGTTTCCGAGGTTAGGAAAGGGTATATCTTGGAGATGTTGCAGAGGTGAAGTCTACAAGAATTGGACAGTGATTGGATTTGGGGCTGAAAGGACAGGTGGGAGTCTAGGATTACACCTAGTACCCTGGCATGAGGGGAGGGAATGATGATTGTATTATTGATCTTGATGGAGAAGTCAGGGGAGGGGGCATGGGCTGGAGGGAATAGTATGAGCTCAGTTTTGGAACGATTGAGTTTGAGGAAGTGGAGTGACATCCATGCTGATATGTCACTTAGTAGGTTAGTAATGCGAGAGGAGACTGAAGGGGTGAGGTGAGGAGGAGACTGAAGGGGTGAGGTGAGGGGTAGACAGATAGATTTGTGTGTCATCAGCATAGAGATGGTACTTAAAGCCATGGGAGTTTATCAAGTGACCAAGGGAGGAGGTGAAGATGGAGAAGAGAAGGGGTCCAAAAACAGAACCTTGAGGGACCCCTACAGAAAGAGGAAGTGGAGAGGAGGAGGCAGCGTTATAGGTAACGCTGATGGAGCGCTGCGATAGGTAGGAGGAGAACCAAGAGAGAGCAGAGTCTCTGAGGCCAAGAAAGTGGAGTATTTTGAGGAGGAGGGGATGGTCAACCGTATCAAAAGCCGCAGAGAGGTCAAGAAGTAAGAGTATGGAGTAGTGGCCATTGGTTTTAGCTGTTAGTAGATCATTAGTGAGTTTTAGTAGGGCAGTTTCAGTGGAGTGTAGAGAGGGTTCAAGTTGTAAAGGTTTCTGCGGTTAATTATTTGCTGCTTTGAGGGATAGGTATTTGAAGACGAGGACACTGTGCAGGTGATGAGATTGTGATCAGAGAGATGAAAGGGGGTGTTTGCGAGGTTGTAGGGAGTACAACGATGGGAGAAAACAAGGTCTAATGTATTCCCATCAGAGTGAGTGGAGGACTGTATGCACTGTGCTAATGCAAAAGATGAGGTTATGTTGAAGAGTTGGGATGTAGCCGGGTTGTTGACATTAATAGGGATGTTAAAATCTTCAAGATTGATAGTGGGTAGTTCAGAGGAGCAAAAGTAGGGTAGCCAGGTGGAGAAATCATCAAGAAAGTGGGACACCGGTCCAGGAGGCCATATAGATCAATGCAATCCTCAGAGAAATGGGATAAAACAGCCGGATGCAGTGAGTCTCGAAAGAAGAGAAGGATAGAGAGGGAGGGTTAGGGAGGACTTGAAAGGTGCTCAGTGGGGATAGGAGCAAAGCAACTCCACCACCTTTCCGACCACTGGGTCTGGGTGAGTGGTCCAGAGGAGGCCTCCATAGGAAATTGCTGCGGGAGAAGCAGAATCTGCTGCTTGAAGCCAGGTTTCTGTAATTGCTAGTAGGTTAAAGGGAGCGGGAGACAAAAAGGTTATGGACAGAGGGGAGCTTATTACAGACAGAGCGGGAATTCCAGAGCGCACATGAAAAAGGGAGGGTGGTTTTTGGGAGCACGGGGACCGATATTAAATTGAGGGGATTGCAGCTATTCCCGAAAGAAAGAGGATGCCTGGTGTGGGGGTGGGATACTGGAGGACCAGGGTTTGTGGAGATATCCCCAGAGGTTAGGAGACGAAGAAGGGTGAGGAAAGTAACATGGGAGCGGGATGTACACAAGTGCACATGCCTTCCAGTCCTGGTGTTTGGGTCAGCAGGTGAGTGAAGTATCAGAAGGAGGTGATGAGAGCAGTAGTAGGGAGATGGTAGCAGTGAGGGGGGAGATGTACAAGTTTTGGGGTGGAGCAGAGGGGTAAATAAGTGAGGTTTTGGGAACGCAGGATAGTAATATGAAAAGTAGGAGTAGAGGGGACATATTAAAAGGTAAACGAAGTGGGACTCAGACTTGTAAGAGATGTTTCCCAGGGTGATTGCTTGCAGTCTGTCCAGCATGCAGTAGAGTTTCTTGCTGTTGTTGTATCTTCCTGCTGCTTGAGTTATCCTGCTTTAGTTCAACTGCTGTGTTCAACTGCTCCTTAGAACTCTATCACAAACAGCACTCATGCAGAAAACTGCACCCCATCTGTGACTATGCCCCCCCCCGATCTGTGATCACCCCCCATGAGCTGATCTAAATTTATAGGGAGATGGTCAAATGAGCACTCTTCTCCGCCCCAATTAGGAACTGATAAGGATCACATGAATTGGGAGGATGTTTCTCAAACACAGACCAGACACAGGCCACAGTCATAAAAAGAGTGTAACAGGAGGTGAGAACTAATCAACATATACAAAATATATATACACTATTTGCTCTGAAATTAACAGGAGTCTGTTGTAGTTTAGAATGGAAAAGCATTTACCCAGCAGAGATAGCAGGAGTCTATGCAATGTTGTACTTCTACTTGCAAACCTCAGTATACATCCATATAGATTCTTTTAATTATTTATCTTCACATACATACTTACATATTTCACCATTAAAAACATCTCAATATTCACCACTCCTTTACTGCCACTCACCTTACTCTTCACTACCTTCTCCCTCTTCAATTTGTCTTTTGCGATGACCAAAAAAAGGAAAAATGTTCCTTAATATTCGGTTTCAAAATCCTATCAGGTGCTGGAAAAACAATAAAAATAACAACATAAGTAATATTGTAGACTTATTGATTAAACTCTTTGCCTCCATTGATAGAGCCCTATTGCCTCCCGCCCACATATAAGGAAATGACGGGCGCGGTGATCGGCGGTGCACTGTGTCCCTCGAACACAGCGGATCACCGATCATCATAAAGAGCCGAAGATGTCGGCTCGGTCATGCGATCAGCTGTGTCCACTCACAGCTGATCGCATGTAAATAAGGAAATGCCGGTTATCGACATTTCTCTCCTCACAAGCTGTCACGTTGACAGAGGAGAGGAGAGCCAGTAATCGGCATTCCTCAGAGGGGGCATGTACACTGATCATCAGGGCACTGATGATCAGTGTGCCCTGATGATCAGTGTAGCCCCAGCAGTGCCACCTGTCAGTGTCCATCAATGCCAGCTGTCAGTGCTCATCAATGACACCTGCCAGTGCCCATCAGTGGTCATCAATGCCACATACCAGTGCCTACCAGTGCACATCAATGCCCATCTGAGCTGCCTTTCAGTGCCACCTATCAGTGCCAGTCAGTGCCACTTATCAATGCCATTCAGTGCCACCTATCAGTGCTGCCAATCAGTGCCACCTATCAGTGCCCATCAGTGTTGCCTATCAGTGCTACCTAACAGTGCCAGTCAGTGCTGCCTATCAGTGCCGCCTATCAGTGCCATATATGAGTGCTGCCTTTCAGTGCCCATCAGTGATGCCTGCCAATTGCCATCAGTGCCACCTACCAGTGCCTCCCCATCAGTGCCCATCAGTACCCCCTATCAGTGCCCATCAGTGCAGCCTCATTAGCGCACATCAGTGAAGGAGAAAAATCACTTATTTACAAAATATTATAACAAAAACTAAGAACAAGCTTTTTTTTTTTTTCAAAATTTTCAGTTGTTTTTGGTTTGTTTAGCAAAAAATAAAAAACGCAGTGGTGATTAAATACCACCAAAAGAAGTCTATATCTGTCTCAAAAAATTATACAAATTTCATATAAGTCCAGTGTTGCATGACCGCGCAATTGTCATTCAAAGTGTGACAGCGCTGAAAGCTGAAAATTGGCCTGGGGGGGAAGGGGGTATAAGTGCTCTGTAGACAAGTGGTTAAGGGCCAAAAATGTATTTTGTTTTTTTACCCGTGCTAACACAACCTCCGAACTCTCTCTCTCATACAAATTCATATTAGATTTAACTCCCAACATCTTTACACTCCTCTCATATACTTTGCCCTCACATTGCTCTATTTCTCTGCACTCACCAAAAGACTTACACTCTTCTCCATATTAATAATAAAACCACTTACCATACAACAAATATCTACCAACAACTTCACTCTCCTTAACCCAGCTATACTTCTACATCCCACTGTCACATCATCCCTGGAACCAATCCTTGTCCTACTTCTTCCCCTACTGCTTGGCACCTCCACCCTTCTCACACACATACAGTATCTTTGGTAATCATCCTCAACATTGGTTCCATCACACAAACAAAAAGCATTGGTGACAATGGACCTCCCTGCCTCACACCTGATCTGATACATACATCATTCGTCAACCATGCATTCACCTGCACTCTACTCATCATTCCTCTATACAAACCCTTCATCCACCCAATCACCTTCTCTGGAACTCCCATCTTCTCCAACACTTAAAATCATGTAACACCGTATCATACATCTTTTTCAAAATCCACCGCTGACACTCTGGCCTCCTGCTTCCTCTCCTTACAGAACCAAAGCACATCCCCCAAACACACTAAATACTCCACAATTCATCTTCCCGGGACAGGCTCTTCTTCCCCCACAAAACTATCCACCACCTCGCAACCTATTCCTGATTATCTTCGCTATTAATTTATAATCCGAGTTTAAAAGTGAAATCGGTCTCTAGTTGTACAAATTCCTAATATCTTTTTTATACAGCAATACTATCACACTTTCCCTCATAAATAGAGGCACCCCCCCATCTTCCAACACTTTCACATCTACCTCATACACACTATCCCCAATCTCTTCCCAAAATTCATCATAAAAGTCAACTGGAAGTCCATCACTTCTCCACTGTGATAGGTCTCCATTCAAATGGATGGGCATAATATGAATTTGGGTTATTCATGATGCTGAGCAAAAAGATTACTCTGGTCCAAAATTGGCGTAACATTTTGGGTATTGGAATAAATGCCTGGCTGTGCAGTAAAAGGGGGGATACTAGCTAATGCTAAGTTACAAGGAAGCCATAAGGGGTTTGCAAATGCCTCCGGGAGACATGTATGGGCTCTGATACTTGGTTATGTGACACCAGGTGTACTGCATTGCTGGTGCTCACCAATTCCCTGGGATGATGTACAGCACTGCTGGAGGTTGTCTGCTCTTCAGAAAGCCTCATCCTTCTTACGGGCATATTTTCCTCCTCCGATTTGGTTATTGACTCACTGCTCCCCACCGGTTCATACTCCGAATCCAAAATCTGACAGTGAGAACTCCCTGCTACTCTCACTTGTCATTGTCAGAATCTGGAAGGCCTCCTCGCTAGTGTATATTTTTTTGGACATGATGTATACTGGCTCTGGTGACACTGGGACAGGTGTGGCAGCAATCAGGGATACAGTGTATGTCTGCACTGGTGTGGCTGAATCAGGGTTGCACTGATGATGGCTGCACTGGTGTGACAGGTCCACTGGCTGATCAGGACACTGATTATAGCTGCACTGGTGTGACAGGTCCACTGGCTGATCAGGGCACTGATGAGGGCTGCACTGGTGTGACAGGTCCACTGGCTGATCAGGACACTGATTAAGGCTGCACTGGTGTGACTGATCAGGGCACTGATGATGGCTCCACTAGTGTGACAGGTCCACTGGCTGATCAGGTCACTGATGAGGGCTGCACTGGTGTGACTGATCAGGGCACTGATGATGGCTCCACTAGTGTGACAGGTCCACTGGCTGATCAGGGCACTGATTAAGGCTGCACTGGTGTGACTGATGAGAGAACTGATGAGAGCTGCACTGGTGTGACTGTTGAGGGCACTAATGAGGTCTGCACTGGTGTGACTGATGAGGGCTGCACTGGTGTGACAGGTACACTGGCTGCAATCAGGCCACTGACAGATGGGTCTATGTGTGTAACAGTGTAGTGTAGGGCAGTGTAAAGATCACAGTAAATCACATTGGAATTGCTAAACTCATAGATCTCAGTACAGATTTATCTCCTTCCTCTCTCACACATGGTCTGTGTGTGAGTAAGGAGAACCAGTAACAGCAAGTACTGGCCATAGTTTACATTTTATGGTCTGCTGTGATTAGACACAGCAATTACATGGGAAGTTGGGCACTGAGATTGGCCCTTTACCCAAATCTGTGATGAGCCATTTACAAGGGGGAACGATTACAGATCATGGTGGAGTGAACCGAATATCTCCACTCCTACTTAATCTGATACACGGGGATCAGGTGGGATTTGTCCCTTGCTTTTGGCCATAACCTACCATCTAATGGACACATCATTATAAGATTTCCAAACCAGGACATCTATACTTTAGTGATTCTATCAATCTGATTTTTTTCATAAAATTTCTATTCCTCTCTCTTCCCTCTGTTTTCTGTGAAACACGTTTGTGTTAGTTTTGTGGGATGTGGACAAACTGTAATCTCAGAAGAAACCATTCTGTGTAGTTTGAAATCCTCTCAATATCCCACAGCTATGACCTTGAAGAGTACAAAAGCATCTTGCTGATGAAATTAGTTGTTAATGAAATTAACAGGAACCCCGATCTTCTGCCCAATGTTACCCTGGGCTATCGAATATTTAGTACTTGTTCTGATCCAATGAAATCTTTGGGATATGCCATGAAGATATTGTCTGGAGAGAAGGAAGCTCCCAACTATTACTGTAAGGGACATGGAGAAGTGGCCGGTTTTATTGGTGACAGTACTTTCCATACAAGTCATGCGATAGCTCAGTTGCTTAGTCTGTATCGGTATACACAGGTAAGTCATGAAGAACTGAATGTATCTGGACATCTGCCAACATTACTGTATTGTATGTGCCGGGTCTGTACAGGAAAGGTCTTACCCCCAGTAGAGGAGTCAGTGACTTCCTTCACAATTAGGCATCCTCACCAGGTGCCACTTCCAATTTTGAATCTATGGATGGCAGCTTTACACAAAATCCATCCTACACTAGCAGGCTACATATGGGGGGGGGGGGCAGAATCAGAGAGATCACAGATCCAAGAGGGTAAGGTAGAAGCAGCACCTCAATGGACTTGCACTAAAAATGTTGGTTTCCCGAGGCATAGCACCAATAGGATTTCAGGGCAACACAGGGACCCATTTATTGTGCTGAGAAGCAATTCCCAAATAGTACAAGAGGTAAATAGAGCACAAATTAACCAATCAAGCATTAGGTGGTCATCAGTCGTGTGCATGAGAGTAATACATGTTGTCACAGAGAAGCCCCACTTAGGAATAATTGTCAGGAGGAAACCAATAAGAAAGGCTCACAATAAGTTAGAGAATCTAGGGAACAGAGATCTCCATTCACACCACCACCACCCCGCCTGTTCACAGGCAACAGTGAGTGTTCTTCTGCTATCATTACATGTGAATATTGCAGGACAGGGGAGTGGACCTACCCCCTTCACACAGAATCCTGTGACTCTCAAATAAGGGCTCATGTAGAAAACTTTTAGAAAACGGAGGTTAAAAACGTTAGTCTAGCCACGTTTACCTACCACGTTTATGCTCTTTGCGTTCAGAAGCGTTTTTAAAAGATAACCTCAGAAGACCCTCCCGAATGCCCAGAATGCACTGAAAAATAGTAAATAATTAACTGTTTCAGACATTTTGAGAGAAAGAAAAAGAGCAGAAGCAGAGAGAGCAGTATGTGTTGAGATTCGCTGTCTTTTCTGGTTGTATTCACTATGGATCCCATCATGAGCATAATGTGGCGCGTTCTACCATTGTTTCCTTCACGCAAAACCCAGAACTGACTGCGCTGGTGTACCGGGTCCATTTGAATACATGAAAAATGCTGTACATGCATTTTTGATGAAGAAAAAAGTCACTGGACAGCAAGTGGATATGGACCAGCCAAAAACGCGTCTAAACACAAACGCGCAAAAACGAATTTGGTGTTTGAAATGCCGGTAAACACCACTCCTGAACACAATTTTTGTGCTTTCAAGAAAATGCCTGTAAACACAACTGCCTGTAAATGACTGTAAACGACTATGTGTACATGGACACATAGGAAAACATTAGGGAGAGTTCAGGGGCTGCTGAAAAAAAACGCTCAACTTCTCCTAAATGTCAGTTTTAGCAGCTGCAGTGCACATGAGCCCTAAGAAGGAAGAGAACCATGGAACCCTTTCTGATGGGAAAGAAAAAAACACAAAAATGAGGCATCAGGCAATACACATGAAGCATGGTTATCATGGTTAATTAGGGAACTTAATGAAACAAACTGAATGTAGAACAAAAGGAGAGAGGAAACAATGTAAAATGGACAACACAGATATTCATTGAGTCACCTTTGGCAGTTTATAGACGGTCAAATTATAGATGCTACATATTAGGATTTAGTATACTGAAGAGTGGAAAAATTAG